ACAACGGCTCAGATTGGGGTATCAGTGCAGCCAGCATCTCACCAACTAGCTCTGCCATCGGGTTCACCTTACTCCCCATACAAGAAGCGTCTGTTCTTTGCCGATAGTGACGATGAAGATATTCCACATTTCCAAACTCCAAGGCCAATTGCGATTGATTCGGAATTTGTCATGAATGAATGATAACGAAAGCGACTTGGAGATACCCTCCTTTGAAGGGGTTCCTCGAGCTTCCAGCGTCAGTAGTATGTCATTAGGGCCTTCTCAGAAGTTCTTTGCTGGCATCAGGTCCTTCTGGTGAAGAACCACCAGTCAAGAAGAGGCGACTCTCACCTCCTTCCAAGGTTCAGGCGCGTACGGGACAAGTATCATTTGATCATCCTGCATACCTTGAATCATTCCTTGTCGGGAGTGCCTGGAGTACTGTCAGGGGCAAACGTTATATCAAACCAGGCGACACCATCCGGCATCTCAGTGGGAATGGGAAAACCCACTATGTTACCAGATCCTATTCTTCCTAACGATACCTCCAGGGATCTTGCACGCGCCCGTCAGCTGAAACTTGACAGTGCCTTTCGGTCAAGAACTCTGGAAGAAGCCTACCAAAGGCCCTTCTGCAACATTGGTTGTTGCTCCTACCTCACTGATCTCCCAGTGGCACGAGGAACTCTAGCGGTCGAGTGCACCAGGGACCCTTAAAGTCACTGTCTGGCATGGATAGAATAGGCAGGACTTGGATGGTATAGAAGATGATTCGATGGATAATGCATCTATCGCCGTGATTATTACATCCCACGGCGTACTCGCCTTTGAACACTCCAAATTCCTCAAGTCCGGTGGTCAATCTTCTATTTGTCCTAGGAATCAATGAAACTTCCTCGATTAATGGCTTGCGAAGTGGAGTGGTTATGAGTCATCTTGAATGAAGCTCATCACTGTAAGTCCAGGACAAGTAAGACCGCACGAGCTGTGTATGCTCTTCGTGCTAGACGTAGATGGGCCGTAACAGTGACTGACTACACTGGTGTTTTTCATAATCAAGATGCTAAATCACGATTAGGAACTCCCATTGTCAATAAACTCGAGGTCCTCGATGTGCTTCTGCGAGTAGCAAAGTGTACTATGTAATAGTTTAGCTGATTTCGTGTCAGCCAATTCCTGGAGTATACACCATGGTCATTGTACTCATTCTTCCGCTCGTTTGTGTCTACCCTTCTCATCGATTTTCATTCTTGTTAAGGCTGAAGCCATTCCTCGCTCGCGATCCCAAAGTAATAGAAATAGTGCTGATCCTCGAGTGTCCTCCGACGCGATAAGAACATGCGTGATGACTCCAGAAAGCGCATCGTCGAGTTGCCTGCCAAGGGGGTCACTGTTGATACACCGCACTTTATACCTGCAGAACAAAAGACATATAACTCTATTTACAATGCGGCAAAGCGGAACTTCGATCAGCTCGATGTGAAAGGGCTCATAGGTAAAAACTACACCCACATTTTGCTATGATTATGAGGTGAGACTTTCGATGCCTGACGTATCCTAATTCTTTAAAGGCTGCGTCGGGCAGTGCTTCATCTAATTCTCGTCACTGATGCTAGCGATAGGACAGACTAAACCTTCTGGATACTCCAAAGATGGAGCGATTGATGCGGACACCTTGATGAATGACATCTCAGAACATGATTTGTCGAGTGGTTCGAAAGCCCCCTATGCTTGAAAGCGTTTTAGCCAACCTTGACATGTCCACTGATGCAGGATGCTCAATCTGCCTCGAAATCGCAACCGTCACAGTCAAGGTATATGAGATGCGTTCTTGTCCCCATGCTCGTCAGTTGACACACATGGCTACTTATTGTGCTTACAAGTCATCTCATCTTCGAAGGGTTACGCGTCCAAAACGGCTGGCGGGAACGGCAGAAGGCAGACTGTTGAGGGTACGCCTCACACCAGTGCATTCGCGAATCCAGAGATGCGATGGGGACACTGGGGTCCTTTAGACTGGATAGTATTGTCCTCCTATAGGACATAAAATTGAATTAAAAAAAGGTATATGAGATATTGTAACATGAAACCCTGAGATGTGAAATTGCTCCAGGAGACAAGATCCTTTAGCCGTAAGTGCTCTCCGTCTTGATCGCACCCGCAAAATCGACATGACCAAAAACTGGTGAGGGTATGTCAGCCTCACCACACGTTATACAAGTCCATCCCATAGAAGGATCTCGATGACGCCCTCTTAAACACATACGTTGGTGTGTTTGTTTGGTCGTTGACGAGTGTGCACACCGCACAAGCCCATTGTCCACCCATCAGCTGAGGTCTCGGCTGATTTGCGAGGGAGGCATGGGGTCCTTGGCATTGCTTGGCTCTAGACTGTTTTTGATCCGGAAGTACTACCACTTGTGGCCTCGATGGTCCGGCAGCAAACACGTGATTGACTCGCAGTCAGTTGAAAGGATGGACAGTAAAGCATACTGCACACTGCAACACAATTGGCTCATTGTGGAATATGCACACAAGACAAGACCATAGTTTCTGGAAGGGAATCGTCAGTAAGGTCGATGATGTCCTCGATGCTTTCCCTGGCTGCTCTCTCGGCTTCGCGCTAGGCAAGTGTACCCGACCCACACCTCGATCTCATCACGGTTTCTACGCTCGGCAGCCTGCGAAGGGTAGTTTTTTCAGGAGACGCAAAACCTGTGCGGCAGTTCACGAGGGTCCATGCCTTGCAGTGCAGTGATTCTGCGGCCTCCTAGCCTGCCCCGCGCCGCGAAAACACCATTTGCACAATGCCTCTTCTCGGCAGCCCTCAAGAGCCTTGAGTCTAGCTAAGGGTAGCCAAGAAGGTCCTCGAGTGCAGCTAGAAACTTGTAAAACAAATTCGTTATGAAGGCCATGGATATTATGGGTAAGTTATTGAAGTGTTTATTAGCTATGACTTGAACACGTTGACGAAAGAATTTCTTGCTTCATGGAGCATGACCCGAACAACCTGATCTTCCTCATAAAAGCTGTCGGGAGCCCATGGAAGACGCAATCTCAGAAGAATCTGCTCTCCTCCGTTTACATCCGAATGTGTCAGCAAGCGCAATGAGCAGCTAATGTGTCCGACGCTCGCTCAACGTTCAACCCTGCATGAGGGTGACCCTATGAAGAAGCTTCAGGCGATGCTGGAAGGAACTTACCAACCAAATTAGGGTTTTGGACGAAAATCCAGACAATAAAGGCAAGAGCCAGCCATGTTTCTCATGATGGCTTTACTAGGGTGGCTACCCGTTGAAACATGGGCAAGGCTCGATCTGCCGCATGTGGGCGGTCTTTCGAGGGAGTAACTGATGTCACGAGAGTTTGCAACATGTATCCCGGAGTGACTGGAGATCGGCCAGCACACCGAGTCTATTGGCGAGGGCGGTCAAAGCTGGCTGCGAAGCATGTTACTTGATTCAATGCTTGCACTGTTGTCAAAATTCAGCCACGACCACCTGAGCCATATATTGGATCACAGCAACCTGCTTCAGGTAGACACATTACAAAAGGGAGTTGAGCAGCGATATGTAACTTGAACCCACCTTTCCTGCAATGACAATCGAGCGGGGAAACAGGAATGTCACGGGTGGCTGATTGGCGAATGAACGAGCTTGTAGAGACGCACCGTGATAGTGCCTCTGCCTTTATACTCTGTCTGCACCCATGTATTAAACGGACAATCATGCCCTGGCTGCCAGAACACCCTCAGGTGGCTTGTACGACACTCTGACAGTGCACGACATTTCCCCATTGCTATGACTGCCTAATATCGGGTATTTGATGGTCCCAAGCCAATTATGTACTGCTGCAATGTTCTGTTGGAAGAACGGGATGTGAATTATTTGGTAGTGTGGGGATTTGAGCAAAGGACTAATCTTATTTCATCTTGAAGCACTTCTTTCTAGAATTCGAACTGTCTTAGAGCTTCTCAGACCCGATAATTCTTTGATTCTATTCCATTAGGAGCGGCAATGGGTGCACAGTATGCACTCATCGACGAGGGTCACGTTGCCCCGCTGCATTTGAGGTCGCCGAGATAGATAATCTTGCTCTTCTCATAGGTAATCATCCAATCCATTGATTCATTCAGATCTAATGGACATCTAAAAGCTAATATGCTTGAACGATTGATCGCTCATAATGACAAGATCCCACTTCTACCGTATGTCACGCCCTACGTTCCATCTCATCTCCTTCATCTTTATTTCCAGCGAGAGCCTCACCCGATTTCACTCGAGAACCGTACCAAACATCAGCGTCCTCGATTATCTCCGACGCATAATCAAATGGACAAAGTCGAGGTCCGTATCCATTAATATTCCTATCATCCATCCCAGCAGCTCACCATATCCCAGAAAGCATGCCTCCTCCTCACCCTACACTACGTCGACCAAATCTGCGCCCGCATGCCCCTCTTCACCCTCTCCTCCCTCACCTGCCACCGCTTCATCATCGCATCCATCACCAGTCTGCAGTAAAGGCCCTCTGCGACTCCTTCTGCACAAACGCCCTCTACGCCCGCGTAGGCCGGCATCCCCGTCCCAGAACTAAACGTCCTCGAACGCGAATTCCTTCTTGCAATAGACTGGCGCTTAATGGTCGCGAGATCCCCCCACCCCGCCGTTTTCCTTCTCACATCCTGTTTTTTTTTGGCAGTGCACTCGAGAAGGTCCTTCAGGAATATTACATCAACCTCATTAGGACGGATAGCTCGGGCCGCTTTGCATTGGAATCGGAGGTGGAGGATAGTGATATGGATACTAGTAGCGTCTCGTCTCGCTCGGCGTCCCCTATGGACACCCAAGTCCGCCATGGCCCGTCGTTTAGCCTCTTAGGCACCCGCGAGTCTTCGAGCGTTATGGGAGACACTTCGACGCTCCCTACTATCGAACAGAACATGGCGTTTGCTGCTTTGCAGCATTCGTTGAAGAAGCCCCCATAGGCATTAGGAGTTTGGCTTTTTTGTTCTGCGTACCGATGGCACGCACTCTCGGCGACAGTTTCGTCACGGTCTATCATCTCGCGTCATAGATTGACATTTAGTAGTCATCCACCGGCACGCGTCAACTTTCACCCCCCCTCTCACCGCTCCTTTCCCTCGGCGTTTTCCCAAGTTTTCCCTTGTCCTGCATACATACATATACACGTGGCGCACAAAAAAATCATCGAATTGTAACCACCGCAAAACATAGCATACAAGGATGACCGAAATTCAATGAATGACTGTGTGAAAACAAGTACACGTACTGTAACGAACGGCAAGGTGAATTTACGTTTTCCCGCAATTCTTCTCAAAAAGGAATCTATAGTAATGGTAATGGTGTAATACAGTCCGAGAGCAAAATTGGAATGAGCGTAGTTGGTTGAGTTTGGGTTTTTCTGGAACAAAGTAATGAAAAATGCGATGGTTTGGTTATGGTTTTCACAAGTTTGAAGTTTGCGCCGATGAATTGAGTTTGGGTTTGAGATGATTATGGACAGATAAGAAGCAGCAGCACAACAATATGCACAACGGCTATGGAGCCTGCATCCCAAAGACCAGCATGAGTGGATGGATTACAACAATAAAAAAGGCTGGTGTTCGCACCGTAAGTAGTTGGGTAACATACAATACATCGACCGCCTCCACAGCACCTACAGGCCATAAGCCATCTAACAAGAACAACAAAAACACACACACACTTCCGACTTTCACAACGTACACCTCAACGCCTCAAAGCAGAGAGCATCTTCGCCAGCGCATTGATCTGGCCCTTCTGCACCTTCTTCGGCGTCTCCTCCTCACCCCCAACACCCCCCAAATCAGTCGTACTAGTAGCAGCATCCCTCACAGGCGCAGGCCTCGCTAATCGTGTCCAACTTCGATTTCCTCGTCCGCGCTTTCCGCTGGGGGGGCTGTCCGAATATATCGCCTACGGGATTAGGATGGAGCTGTCGTGGAAGCTCGTCGAGTTCCCATGGGACGCCGTTCATGACTATTACCGAACCACGTCAACATCGTATCTACACAAAAGTAAAAGTGAAAGGGACGTACTTTTGACATTCTTCGGAACCTGCGCCGCAGCCTGCGCCCCATTCCTCCAACTCCCGCTACTCACACTCGTGGCAGTCGTTGATACACTCCTCACGCTTGAATTGCTGTACCGTGTGAATGTAGAGGTGCTCGTGCTTGCACTGCTCATTGAGCTTCGCCAGTTGCTGCTACGGACGCTGCCTGGCGGTGAATGACCTCTCACGCTCCCGTTTGCGTTGCCGTTGACGTTGGAATTGCCATTGCCGATGATGGAAGGAGCAGTGGTGGAAAACGCAGTGCTAAACGTAGACGAACCAGGTCTCCGTCCGCGTGCCCACGTACCCGCCTCATCCGCCGGACTCCGCTGTCTCGTAAGCGGCGTGTGCACACCACTCCCATTCACACTGGCGCTCGAGTTGACATTAATACTGCCATGCGAAATATACGGTGAGGGTTTGGGACCGTTGCTTGGATTCGGTGCAGGCTGGGAGAGCCCCATGATGAGATTGGTGACGTTGCTCGCAGTGCCCGTCGTCGGTGCCTCTTCCGTGGGCGTAGGCGTGGATATAATAGTCTTGCCGCTTCCGAAACCCAACTTCCACTTGCTCGGCTTCTTCACAACCACAGGCCTCGGCGCTTCCGTCTCAGCGGCAGGCCTCGTAACACTCGAAGTATGACTCGCATTCCTGTCCAAATCAACGATCCCAAGCGACGAGCGGCTCGCACCACGACTCGCAAGACTGATTTCCCGTGCCA